GTTATCTTGTGATAAACTGCGGAATATACTTTTACAGTCTGTTAAAGCCACTGTATCTCATTATAGCTTGCTGCGCCCGCCAGGGTCCAATGTGATATAATTTGTAATAGTTTTATAGGTGCTTTAGTTTTATATTGGTATAGAAGTCGTAGTATATCTATTTTGAAAATAGATGTCATTAGCGACTAGGTAATTATTTACCTCACTACTAATCAATATTTACATTCTGTGGTCGTCAATAAATTATACTATAATTAAAAACGGTGTATTATGTTTTCTTTTACGTAAACATTTGTGGTTTTTAATCTTATTTAAATGATTGTAGTTATTTCGGGCTAATTCCATGACGGTGTTAATTGAAATTCACAATACATGACAATCAAGTACAAGTTTTTATCTGTTCGTAAAAATATTCCACTATAATTACATTTTTGCTAAATTCCATAACAATATAGAACTGTACCTACTGACATTGATAAGTGTACTGTTTGAAAATAATAGTAATAAAATGACACAGGACAAGGTCACACAGAGCCATCTAGTCCGAAACTAAGGAGAGCTTGTTTTATGGGTCCTAGACTATTTCTATTACCGATGGTCGCTAGTTAAAGTGGTCAATTCGTCGATATGTGCAAATATTTTGTGTTCATGAGTATGATTGTTTGTATAGATCTGTAAAGAACGTATCTAAGTATTTATATCAGTTGTCTAGTGGGTATAACGCAAGCTCTACTTAGCTTGGGACTAGGTGACGATGTGTGAATTGTTCAGAGATATTATTATTATTATATTATAATGTCAGTTAGTTTTCCATTGAACACTAAATATAGGGATTGCGCCGGGTTTGTATCCGGAGTAGAGCGACAAATCGCTTTTGATATTTTAATTAATACTTTTTTATCTAACTAGACATAGTGACGTCATCTATTTTCTATCTTAACTAGTAAAGGGTCCACAAAACGGTGTTAATGCGAACAACTAATGATCATCAAAATAACTGTTGTAATAAAAATGTTGATTTAACATATATTTCTCGTAATTTGACTGATCCGCTAAATATCCGGTATGAATCACCATAATATGTCATTCGTATATCAGTGTAATTTTGGTGATATATATGTTATAATGTGTTTTCCGCGTACGCACAAACTTCTAAATAAACAGGTGTTTACGAACCGTTTAGAAGAGAACCGCACTTTATTGCTAATTATATCCCGGGATTGATCGGAGTAAATCTTTAGTAGGGGAGATCCTGACGTTCCTGTAACGGCAGCTAATCTCCTTATGGATCCAAACATTCCGCCGCTACCTTGAATCACACAGACACACGACACCGTCCTAACCTACGAAGACAACGTCCTCAACTACACCATCCGGCGCAACAGACCGGGCACTTCACTCTGGCGCCCCCAGGCTCCCCTCCGATTGATCCCCCATTCAATTTAAACGGGGATTGTATTACGACGGTCTGAGCCTAAGTTAGATTTGCGATGCCTTCAGATTAAAGTCATATCCGTAAGGCCGGAGTTATTGGCAGAGAGCCTTCATTCGATACTGAAGTCCTTGTGCTGGTTTGGAGTGCCATCTGCAGATCGCCTATCGTTCGGTGAAGTGTAAAAGCAAGCTGCAGCCAACAATATTACGTACTTTGTAAAGAGATCAATAGTTATCAATAAAATTTTATTTGTACCTTGTCAGTGTAACAACTCTTCTCATTTTTAAATATTAGTCATACTAAGAATGTTATTATGACTATCTACAACGGTAATATCAAACTCAAGTATTAATAATAGGTAGACTAGAATGTTATAGGTATAAAAAAATCGATTAAATAATAAAGCGAGAGCATTCTCGCCTCTCGGCGTACAATGACAATTGTTCAGACAGTGCAATAATGTTTTGATTGTATAATAGAAAGTACTGTCTAGAAATTGAACCGTTCGATTGGTCGTCGGCGGTCGTACGATAAGTATAATCAGACCCCATTCAGGCCGCGTCGGCGTGTCGTCATAGTATACGCACCTACCTGCGTTGAAGACGCATAATTTTCCAAATTACGCAATATACCACTTTCTATTCAACGACGGACAGCTCGGCTCTGATGTAATTTTCGCAGAAAATGTTGTGTTTATATAGTTTGACATGTTCTTTTTTGTATGGGTGAATATGGAATTGTGCACCCGAATGCGTTAACAGTATACACTGGCGCCCCGCCAGCATATACCGTTCACGGATGGAGGATGATGTTGAAGTAAGGTTGGATAGGCCTTCGTGGCCAATTTCTCTAGGAATTAACTTATAGAGATATAGAGAGATATGTTTATTACTAAATAATAATATTAACTTAGACAGTTTACACAGCGCCATAGTCTCAAGCTAAACAGAACTTATATTATGGGCACTAAAAATCTAATAGAAGAATTAAGATACATCTTTTTTGTTAATACATACATAATATATAAATATGTAGAAAACAGGCAGACCAATACAAACATATACACATTCTCATGAAAAAATAATATAATATAAATGTTTGCATCATGTGAAGAATCGAACCCGCAACCATCGGAAGTAAAGTTGTGTACTAAATTGCTACACCAACGATACTCTCCACCTACGTACAACAACGTATGTTACTTATAAACCAACATATTTGAAGTTAATTGAAAATAACATACTTATATGGTAAAGTCCCCGACCGTCGGTCGGAGAGACGAGACATTATGTAAATACTAGATCTAGGTACAATAACAAGAGAATAAACACGTTTTGTTACTTTATACAGTATTTACTTACTTAAATAACTGTGTAAATAGTTGTGGTACGTCTTACGAGTATACTGCAATTGACTATACTTGTTAATAAAGAAAATAAAGTAATGAAATAAATATATGTAATAATAATTTAGTTGACATAAAAATGGTTTACCATTACCAAAATTGATATCTGTTTTTTTTTAATTACGACACTTTGAATACGGAATATTGTATAATATTCAATAAATTATAATAAAATAATATTATATATTAGTATAATATCTCTGGAAAATTTACACAGTCCATCTTGTCCCAAGTTAATCTAATCTAAAGCTAATCATACTCACGAATACAAATATTTATACCCTGACAGGAATCGAACCGGCGGCAGGTGTTTTAAACCGCAAGACCACCGAGACCGTCAGTGTGTTTTAGACAGTGTGACCACCCATTTGATAAATAATATTACTGAAATAGTATTATTTAAATTCTGGAGTTTCGACTCTATGAATTAGAGTGTAACTCAATTAGCAGTTCCGTCTTTATAATAATAGTAGTTAGGTAGTCGATCGCTGTTCACCTTGCTAACTGACGATAATTAATGTAAGCTCATGTTAAGTACTAAAGCTAAGTATGTAAGAAATATGTTTCCTTTACATAAGTATTGCACACTTTCTTAAACTCCATGACGTAATGTTGCAATGTCTCGGTCTCTATGATGGTTTATAATGGTTCCCAAAATTGGGCCTATAACCTGTCTAGATAAATATGATTATTTTAATAAATCGGAATCTATAGAAACGTAAATCGGGCGAACAGTCAACCATATCATTAGTAATTCAATGTTATATAATAATAATGACAGTTACGGAGTGTACGATCTGTTGACCACAGATCCATCTAGTCCTAAAGTATGCAAAACTTTACTATGAATACTGAGCAACTGTTAGAAATACTTACTTTTTTTAATACATACAAACTGGCCGATACAAACAATCTTACTACATTTTGTATTGTGTAAGATTTGAACCCGCAACCGTCGCCGCGTCGTAAGTAAGGCCCTGTGCTAAACCGCTAAACGACCGTGGCGGTTAGTGTGTTTTAGAAACATTTTCTTTGAAATATTCAAAGGGCTTAAAGGTTAGGTATGTTGGAAGCATAATGAATATTTTATTATAACAAAATGTGAATAAGTTCCCTGCCGGAAATTATAAATATTTGCAACATCAGATTTTTTTAGTGGTTAGTAGAATGTGGAAGATGATAGGATGTACATGATGAACCCGCGACCATTGGAAGTAAGACGGTATTGTGAACCGCTAGACCACCGAGGCCATCAAATAATCTACCTCAAGTAATCTCAGGTCATGACAATTTTGGTTGCATTTGACCATAAGCGTCATATTTGTTGTTACAAGTATTCGTATTTGAACAATGCTAATGTATTGCTAATGATTTCTCAGAGTTCGCAAAATGTTTTCCCAATTCAATATACATATTTACAATTATCACAGGACTGTTAATTTACTTAGAATAATCACGTAATATATCAAAATGGGTATTTTTGTATACATTAACACATATGTCTCCAAAAATCTTTCTCATAAACAGTGTAAATAAATACGATACGATAATTTTTTATACGTATATTGTTTTATAATAATAAAGCAATGAAACACGTGTATATAATAAAAAGAAATATTACGTTTTATTTTTATTTCAAATATATATAATAATAATAATTTTCAATTCACATAGCGCCATCTAGACCCAAGTTAGGCTAGCTAAAGCTTGTGTTATGGGTACTAGATAACTGATACAAATACATAGATATTTTTTTTATTCGTAAATACATACATATTATACATAGAAAATATCCAGATCAATACAAACAATCATACTCATGAATACAAATGTTTGTGCCGTGCGAGGAATCGAACCCGCGACCATTGGACGTAAAGCGGTGTGCTAGACCGCTAGACCACAGAGGTCGTCACATGAATAGGATTTTCTAGTTTAGATTGTGGTTCTAAAATCCAAGCGTAGGTACTTGATTGTGAAAGGGTTTTGTGAATTTCTCAAAAATTATTTTACATGTTCAGGATCATAAATCATCAGAATAACAAATAGACTATAAATTTTACGCAGGTGAAACCGCAACAGCTAGTCTACTATAATATAGTCCATCGACTTCCACATTCATAATTGTACTTGAAATTCATGTACATTTTTTTATAATTCCAGTTTCATAGTCCGGGACAAAGTGTCCGGTTTCTGGACGGCCATGTTCGTGTTGTCCAAACTGCCGGAGCTGGGTGATACGGTGTTCATCGTGCTGCGTAAGAAGCCCCTCATCTTCCTCCACTGGTACCACCACATCACAGTTCTGCTATACACTTGGTACTCCTTCACGGAGTACACATCTTCTGCGCGGTGGTTCGTTGTTATGAACTATTTCGTTCACAGGTAAGATTTCTTGTATTTTAATAATAAGTTTGTTTCTTCTCTAAAAATTATAATACATAATTAGAATTTCAGAGTTTATAAATCATCAGTATGGTACTGATAATTTTTATAGACTGAAACTGTATCCCGTTATTCAGGGTTCATCTTCTTTCACTGATCCCTTTCAGCTGTCATATCTGAGCATACTCTTCTTTTATACATAACCTCTTCCACACAATCCGTCTAAGTTTGTTAAATACTTTTCTTTTAAAACATTGTCCTCACTTCTCTGCATAATTCCATTCCGACTATATAATTTTCAATGATAATAATCTACACATATAAATAAAATTGGAGTGTCTGTTTGTAATATTTAAATAACCGTTTTTTACTACATGCATATGAATATAAATACGAGTACGGTACATACTCTAAAATAACATTTTTTACAATTTTTGTCTGTCTGTCTGTCTGTCTGTTCCGGCTAATCTTTGAAATGACTTGACCGATTTTGACGGGACTGTTATTGGTAGGTAGCTGATGTAATAAGGAGTAACTTAGGCTACTTTTATTTTAGAAAAATAAAGTTTAATTCCTCGCTAACGAGGTCGCGGGTACAACTAGTTGTAATTATAATTTGTGGGAGATCTGGACCCCAAATTAAAGCTACAACCTGGTCCCTCAGTAAATCAATATTCACATCAACATATACACACACATACACATTTTACAACACAGTATTTACAAAAAAAAGCAGAGTATATAAAATAAGAAGAAAACACAATTTATATAAACTTTCACACAGATCTTCCTTTCCTCTGTTTTTATCTATGTGCCACAGTGAGGCAAAAAGGTCAAAAGGACTTCTATAAATAAGTGCATTGTTTGCTCTGGGAGACAACCCATTAGTTTTCAGTTACTACCTAAACATATGCAAAAACTCTGGTAAAACATCACTGAGTTCTAAATTTTCGATAATATAATACAATATAAATATAATATAAAGCTACATATAAAAAAAGGTTTAAAAAACATGAAGGTGGAGCAGACGTAAAAATAACATGAGTGACTATTTATTTGTTGAAACTATTTCACTAATGTTTAAATAAATGTGCAATAATATGAACTTAATATGTTATCTAACTTATATAAATAGATAAAATTTTAAACTAATGTAGAAATAAGGTGCGTAATTACTGTCTTAATATGTTATCTAATTTAATAGATAAATAGAAAACTTTTATTTGTGTTAAAAGTAAGTACACACACAAGGCATAGTAATATAAAAACAAAATTAAAAGGTAGATACACAATTGCATTGGTTAGTTAACAAACAGCTTAGTATATGTGCATAGCCCATAGGCAAAAAGGCAGCACCTCAGTGTATTGTTTGCTACCGGCAGCAAACCACTGATTTTGACCAGGGACATGCGCGGGGAGTATGCAACTGAACCGCCGCATCTAACCTATTACACTATCATTAATAGTATCGTAATCTTAATAATAACAAACTGATTTCACCTAAATGTCCTTTAACTAAAGTTAGTTATTCGTTTTATGGTAATTGCGTAAGGTTACCAGAGTCTGTTCTAAATCTGCCAGAAAAAATATTTAAATGTTGTTGTAAAAAAACATATAAAATTGAACAGTTCGTTAACGATAATAATGTTTTTGTAGAGAAACTTAAAATTCATAGACAATATTATCCGATTGCACTAAGAATGAGTGTGTAGAGGTTTCTATGTTGAAGTTACTTATTGTGTAATTATTTATATAAAAAAACATTTATTCAAAAGAGCAACTCACAAGTTTATGTGATTTCTGTGAACGAGTGCCGCTTGTCCACTACAAGCGGCACTCGTTAGTCTGTAGTAAACACTACAACTGTTATTTAGTTACATAAGCAGTTGCTGGTGTATTTAATATTTTCTCTAATCTATTACTTTTAACTTAAAAATGTAAAATTACAACTATATAATTTAAAACGGCAACATAGAAGTTTCTTGCTCATTCTTTTTGTGATGAATCTGCATTCCGAATGAGTGGTAGAATCAAAAATATGTCTATTCAAAAATGCTTGTACTCAGTTTACTTGAATAGAGATTATTTCTGTTTCTAATAATAATATAATACTTGTAGTTACATGTATTATGTTGGTAATGAATTTTTATTTTGTTACATCGGGTTTGTCCGGGTTAACCTATTTGACATTCAAATAATATTAAAAATATGTATTATAATAATATCTGTAAAACAATATGTAAATAATGAAAACATAGGTAGAGTGGATAATTTAAATTTGTCTTTTTGACTTTCATATTCTCCTTGTTATATCTTCAAATTGTTAACAATCTTCACAAAATATTAAACATGTGGTTTGGATTAAAAAAGAAAACATTATGTATTACCTACTCTTACCTATTTTACTATTACTATTTATTGAAATAAATGCAAGCAATAATGATACCTACTGTAATATGAATACGTATTATGATAAAACATTTAACAATCCAAGCTCTTTCTACCTGGTCGCCACGGAAAATTCGAATAATTTCTCCTAAATAACTTATAACAATTATTATGAAAATCTAATAAAATACAGTTGTATTTCGTCAACATTTCCCGCTTCTAAAGTACTGGTACAAGGTAGCAATATTATATTGTGAATATATCAGATCAACCTTCGCGCGCTCCCCATCGTGATTAACTCCTGAACTAACTGATCTAACTTCATCCTAATCTTATTATCTTCCACCGATACCGTCCAGCGTCCTTTCCGGTCGATCCCCAATTCAAGGGCATCGAAATTACGACGGTCTGAACCGAAGTTGAAACACCGCCTACAGACTAAACTCCATCACCTTCCGTCGCTCCATAAGTCTTTCCGCGGGTTTGGATTGCCATCTGCTCGCCCCTTATCGTTCGGTGAAGCTGTAAAGGCCAGCTGCGGCCAACAACATTAAAATAGTTCCAAAAAAACCCCGCCAACGTATACAGTTCGCGCAGACTATGAACGCTTTCATATTCACCTATAAAAAGTAAAGTTCATACTGCAAAATAGTTTTAAACTCATTAATAACCTACAAATATTATATACTAGCTGTATCCGCGGGTAATTTAATTTATTTTTCTAAAATAAATGATATTTTCTAAAATAAATGTAGCCTATATTACTCCTTATTACACCAGGTACCTGCCAAAAAAAGTCCCGTCAGACAGACAGTCAAAAAATGTTATTTCAGTGTATGTATGGTATTCATATGCATGTAGTAAAAAACTGTTATTTCAATATTACAAACTCCAATTTTATTTATAGGTATAGATAAAATATATATCTTTCATTTTATAACCTTAAATAAGAAGTATGGAAGGCCAGGGTTTTTTAATTTAATTGAATTCACGACCCCGTTCATGAAATGAGGCGTACCTCTTTTCCACTGTCAGATCCATTGTTATCCAATTTGAATGTTATTGGCATCAACTTTGACCTTTTGACACAATCAAATCGTAATTATTGATCTTTTGTGTGCGATTGTGCTGGAGAATGGCAATATAAAGAGCACTCGAGGCGCGCCTCACTCTATCAGTCTATTAATATAGTTATTAATAGATAATGATTTAAAAATGTTCTATAACATTCTACCAGAAGAAGACTTTAAAACGATGCAGGCACCATTGGGGTACAGTGTAGTAGGTAAACGTAATTACTACTACACTAAAGTGTATAATTAATAAATCGTCAAAAATGGCAACACATAAGTGGTACTATGGACGTTACAGTGATGATGAATTAACTACCTTACCCGCACAACTTCGTCTGCATCACACTTACTTGACATTTATATATTTATATATTTGTCCAATTTACATAATAGATATTTTGTTAATTTTTATTCTGATGTATAATCCGTGACTACTGAACGTTTTGGCGTGAATGAGTGACAAACATCTTTTAATAAGCACAAACTTTCGCATTTATAATATTAATGAGATATAAGAGTTCCAATTTGCTCTTTTAATTGGGTTACCCTAAAAATTACTATTTAAAAGTACTTAAGTATCTTAATAATATTACAGGTGCGAAAGTTTCTAAATATGGACGGTTGTTACTCTTTCACGCAATAACTACTGAACGGATTTAGATGAAACTTTACAGTAATATAGCTTATGCATAAGAATAATATATAGGCTATTTTTTTTATTGAAATTTAACGCGGATGAAACCGCGGACTTAGTTAACATTTTAATAAAGATTATAACTATTGTATTGAAAATAAATACTAGAGCGTTGTTTGTGTTGATGGAGAAAATCGTCAGTACAAATTCTCGTGTTTGTAATGTTAGTAAGATCATAAATTAATAATATTGTTGTTTCCTTCCACAGTGTGATGTACTCGTACTACGCGCTAGTAAGCATGGGCAAATACCCACCCAAGTTCCTCGCGATGACCATCACGTTCCTACAACTCACTCAGATGATAGTCGGCTGCGCTATCAACATTTGGGCCCACAACTACCTCGCGACCGGACCCCCAGACACGTGTCACATCAGCCAAATCAACATCAAGCTCTCTATGGCCATGTACTTCTCATACTTCGTCCTGTTCGCCCGATTCTTCTACAAGGCCTACCTCTCGCCCAAAAAGGGTAAGAAGGACAAGCAGGAGCCGCTCCCGGAAGCAGTGAGCGCGAAGAAAGTTGATCCCAACGTGTACCCGAGACAGAGGAACGGTGTCGTCGCGCACTAGTCGACCACAGCTTGTGATATGTGTTAGATTAATGGTTATGGCTGTTATCTTGTGACGATTCGATGGACTTGCCGGATAATAAGGTTTCACACCTTACTGCAATAATTAACAAATATTAATTATACTTTGGATTAACAATACAAAAGTAATAATTTATTACCATTAAATTATTTAATTTAAAATATGTAGGATATAATTTAATGATGACAACCGTTATAGATCTAGGATTTAATTTTATGTCAATCAAATATTGTTGACATTTAAAATTGAACTGTAATGTCTAAGCCATTATGTTCCATTTAGATTTTTGTAATTCAAGGGCCTTCTTTTGTATCTAAAGGTTATGCATACCTATATATCTTGTTAAGATTATGGTATATGCGCTATCATTAGTAACATCTCATTCGTCCATTTTATATCGGTTGTTGTTATTCAATGAAAACTAGAGAGTTCTAAATACGCTTACCGTACAACGCATCACATAAAAAAGAAAGAGATAGCATGTCTAGGGCATCACTTCTTATACAGTTGTTTTCCTATTTAATTATTTTTAATTTATATTTTGAATTAGACGTATTTTGAACCAGCTTTGGTCGCTATTTATATAGAAGAATTTAATCCGAATACTAGAGTACTGAATAGAGATGGGTATGGAGACACATTTTATTTTATTCCTTCTTCAGTGCGATGATCTGTTGTTAATTGTTGATCGTTATATAAATAATAGAATCTATCTTGATTATGAAAGTTATAAAAAAATCGGCTAGTTCAATTATTAAATTGCATAACTTTAATAATCTGATAGATATTAATAATTGGCGCGTAATTAGATATTTTTTTATAAATAGTTAAAAACTAAATTTTTACTAACATCGAGTATTCTGTCTTTGGTTTGCTCCATATGTTTATGAATAGTTCATGAGTCAAGTTCAGGCTTACAAAAAGGTATAAATCAATATGCGGCTTATCTATTTTTGTGCATAAAGACGTACGAAAATAGTAATGCCGCAAAGCGACGCTCATAACACACAAAATGCGGTCACTCACACATTTGTACAATGACGATAATAATATATTTTTTAATAGTGTTGCCAGAAATAAAAATAAAAATAGCACTGAATAAGAAGTAAGAATTACTAAAAAAAATATATTCAAAACAATGTAATTTTTTTTATTCATTTATTTTAGTGTCAGAACTCATAGATCTTGTAATTATATTATTGCAATAATAAAATTCATTATTCTGAAGCGATTCTATAATAGTATATTAACATGAAAAAATATAATAGTGTTGATCTAAGAAGTTAAAAGTATTAGATTAGATTTTACACATTAATCATATTGTATTATGGTTCAAATGAAATAATATCGAATATTGAAACTCGAATATTTTTATCTTCTTCGATATTATATATATTTTTCATTATGACAATACTTGTTTATGCAATAGGCGTTGCAAAGTAATTACAGCAAATTTGAAAATCGAACGTAAATATTAACAATTATTTATTATCTTAATTTATAAAAAGTAAAACAAAGAATAAATATACATTTTTTAATGTTATTTAAACGTGACGTTAATATAAATTATTGTAAACGTTTTAATATTTTTTAAATACCGGCAAGTCCTCAATCGTAACAGACTATAAAGGCGTCCTTCACATGTACATTCCATGTTTATTTTTCCAATCTTTATATGCGACGATGAAGAGTGTGGATGGGCCTTTACCATATGGCGCTTTTATACGGGTTCCATATACTATGGACGTTTAGGAGGAAATTGCATTTTATAAATGGTTGCTTGGGTACTTATTATATTGGACAGAATAATGAGATTATTATTTTCAAAACAAACATATTGCATATGTAATTCACCTCCTTTTCGCTTCCCGTTTCACACCAAGACCCGTATAAAAGCAGATAGTTCTATGCTGTTGTTTAACGTATTTATTATTAATGAAATTGAGTGATTTTTTTTAATAATTTATTTGTAAAGGAATAGTTTTAATCGACCTGTACAGATTGTGAACATTAGGGGTTTAACATGTGTCCGCGCCGGGCGGCTCTAGGAATAGTTTTAATACTTTGTAACGCTTGTCAAACAAGTGCACAAAGTGTAAGAAATGTAATTCCTTATAGTGGAATAAGCAATATTATTAGTTGGTGAAATTGACAGTTTTGAATTAGGTCAGTGTAATTTAAATATCTGGGCGTGTTGCCAAGTGGCAAAGATTACATTCCGAAATATGAGTGCGACGAACAGTACCGCGTGTGGGAACGAGACGGCATGTGTATGGCGTCTCGTTTTCTCCAGTTACTACAGATATGTCCAGGCGTAAAAATAAAGATTGTTTCACATTGCGAAGACTGAAGCGGAATTGAATCGTTTGTCACTTGTGCACAAGCTCTGGAGTTTTTGCCTGATTTGGGCAAATTACTAACAATTTGGCTGTTATATAATCTCCTCCCTTCCACTAAGCGATATATGAGGGGTAATAAGAGATAGTTCAAATTATACGCTTCCACGTGTCAGAGTCGAATCACGTGGAGGTCTTAAGCGGTCGCGACGGGACTTGTACAGTACAAGTGCTATATAACATTTTGGTACCTTAACGATAATCATTTATTGACAACTATATAATCTGCCATCTGCGTGGTTTGAGATAATTAGAGAAAAATATATTAACTTTATAAAAATTAACATATATGCTTATATTATTTTGAAAATTGTATATGATATCATGGTGACACATGACGGAATAATAACAGTAAAATTTATAATTACCTATACAATAAAATATCTACAAACAAAGCAAAGGTTTGAGATGTATATCTCTCTAATCGTTCTAAACGAATAATATTCGAAAACATAAGCTTTGTTTTTAATTTGACAGTTACCGCCGGTGTTGCCAGTATTAGTGTGTAATCAAATGTCAATATCGGTAACTTTAATCGACCTTATTGTATCATTATTTTTCAAATAGTAATACAGTAAAGTCGAATAAAGTTTTGTTTTCGTCAGTTTTTGTTTTGTTTGGTCAAGTACATTTGTAAAATTGTGCAAACAATAGAAATGTTATCGGTATATTTCTATATCTAAACCTTTAGAGATAGACATATAATGATAGTACAAAATCGGTACCTATATAAGTGCTGTGCAAGGCACCTGTCGCCGTAGACTTAGAGACTCCCTTGATGCCGGACGCGAACATTGGACAACTACAAACTAAAATTTAAGGCTCTCCAGTGTCCAAGTTTGACGACCACTGGCTTATTATTGTACACATTATATAATGGCATAGTTACCCTCAATTATTATAACTCAGAAAGCGGGTAGACAGATTTGTCTATCCATAATAAGGGTCTTTTCAAACGAGAATTTGAAGATGCTGGTAACAGCGTCCTAATTTTTAAAGCTCATAATATGATTGTAAATATGCTGTTCTATAATGTGTAAAATTGTAAACAATTATAGGCTTTCTGTCTACTTAACGCGTTGTAACTGCGCATCAAGTGTCAGTTTGTGATTTAAAAAGTAATCTATATAGTGTAAACATTTTATTAAATGTACCGCTTTCGCCTAAAATGTAATAAACGCGATACTAGCGGTGTTTTTGTATTAGTGTTAACGTTGTTGGACGATTCCTCTGACCTGTTGATAATTAGCGTAGGGATTAATCCCATTTCGTCCGCTAAACAGAACCTTACTTCTTTGGAATAAGATACAGATTTAGTATAGATTTAGATCAGGTCAATTTCGTATAGTACCACTATAGAAGTCATATTTTTAAGGTAGGGAGTTTCGAATGTAGTCTATAATTTAGGCTCATCGTACATTTAATGTGTCTACCGCTAACACAATTACAGAGATCTCTGGGAAAATTATGGCGGTGGATAGTGATGTCCTCACGATGTCCATTATTTTCACTTTTTTCTCCGTTTTTATTGGCGAGACCGTGTTGTTTGAATGCTGGGATGTTAAATGAACGATGAGCCTTATTGTCCAACCAATGCTTCATTATAATGAGAAAGGGTAATGCGACTAACATCGTTTAACATTATATATTAACTTATTTTGTCATTCGATTGTTTTTACATCAAATAGGGGAAATTGTAATAACAGGGTTGTGGGTGGGATTACTTCTAGAGAGCGATGACTCGATAACATAGATATAAATAAAATGTTGCGTTTACACCTGAATAAGTACACGAGATTCGTACATTTTGAGACAGTGATATACATATGTTGTTTCTTTGTACAAGTCAAAATGTTAGTTTATAAATAAATATAACCCCGACGCATTTGGATATGCTGCCGTGTTTTAGGCACAACCGATCCGCTATTTATTAAAAAAACTATTTAACCATAACTTATTACAGGCTATGTTTATAATAAGTTCATATTATTTAATATTGCTATAATGTCTATAGCTGTTCCAGATCAATATATGTTGAGTTGACACAACACAATTTCATTGAATACCCAGTTAGTATGCAAAAGTTGATATTATTTCATTTAATTTAAATGTATTTGTCCATTTTATTAATTTCTATATGATATCTCTAATATAGCATAATAATCCATTGGTTAATATAGAAAATCGCAGCACGGGCTATCTGATTTTTACAATTTCATTGAATGAACCATGAAATTAAAACTACCATTAAAGTCGACTTGTTTGTTACATTGTCACCTAGAATATAATATAATGGACAAAGTACAAATACATATTTTGTATGTATAAATACTGCTCTTGTCTCAAAAGCTTGGTAAAGCATATCAAAGTAGTAGTCGTCACAAATGTCATGTATAATTATGTAATGCTGACTCTGACGGGAGGTTTACAAAGATTTTGTATAAGATTATATTGTAAGGAGACTGGGAATACACCTACATATTACAACACTGATATGTACCTACTAATTTTGACATGATTTTTTCTTTGTTGTTTTGTGATTTGGTCTGCCATGCCATTACTTACAGTTACTTTATTTGGTAATACAGAACATTGTTTCGTTGATTATAAAAATTCGTTACAAATGCTTGTAACTGCAGAACTTCTATATGAATTTGCAAGGAATAAACTGGCACCAGTCATATAGAAGTTTTGTAATAGACCATGACACAATTTTTTTATATTGGCAATACCAAATCGAAAGGGACAACAATAACGCATTTGTCATTAATGAGTGCGTTTCTTTTGTTTTATATCTGTTACTATTATGATCATAAATGATTTATAGCATTTATTTATAATAATCACGTTTTTTTTTCTATATTTTACAATAAATCTTGTTCTGCCTAGAATGAATTAGCGGTCACAGTTCCATGTTCGATACATAAAAATATTTTAAGAATATATTTTTGTGATTGACATTTTGTGGTTACAATTTCAGATTATAAATATGTTTATATCATTGTATAATCATTGTAAACTACAATATGAAAGTGGAAATATTCTTGCAGTCATTAATTTGTATTTTCTGGGCAAATAAAGCGTTAATGAATGAATATGCTTTTTTTTCTTTTAGTAATATAAGTCAGATGAAGTCGAATGTCAGTGGAATAACTGCACAGACATAGTATCCAAATACAGGTTGTTGATGACAATTCTTTGAAAATTAATGGAATATATCTTTTTCTTAAACGGACGATAATAGAATACTGCACCCGCTTTCGCTAACAGTTTACGCAAGGGGGCTCCCATTGATATTATGACCATGAGTCAGATCAGTTAGCACATCGTGGAAAATACACCAAGAATTTATTACAATGTTTTCTAGGGAGAACCGCGTGAAGGTCAACCTAATATAGTATGGTTTACTAGCAATGGGACCATTAGTCCACATTACTAACAATTCCCTCCCCCCCGGATCAAGTTAATGGAATCGCATGGAATCAATTTCATAAGATTGAAATACTGAAATCCTTATTCAATTGTTACACTGTCACATTGAAAATTAAAAAGCGATTTTGTCAATTTTTTTTAAATGATAGGTAGAATCGGGCAAGAAAAAGAGAAAAATATTTATTTTAGTTATATGGCATAATTCGATACAAAAGCAATAACATATATAACAACAACATTACGTATCAAATACCTGATAACTTGATACTCATGCTCATGATATTTGCTATTTACATCATACCCAGAATGAACAGCGTTATTTTTAGATCGGGCAATAGTCAGTTTTTTTTTTATGTCTTTGACATTTTGATTGACAGCAAATTGATGTTTCGATGTCAGTAGCTTGTCTTGTTTTTTAAAATAAAAAATATTTTTACCTTATTTTCATCATCACGCTTTGTTTTCTGTAAAAACATAATAGAAATGGATTTGGTAGATAATGATATTAGGCAGTGGGATGCCAAAGATGTGAAGGAACAATTTGGTGATAGTTTAACGTTACTTCCATCAAATGATAACATCAAAGAACTGCAAACTATACTCAGAGACAAGTAAGGTTATGTTATTCAAACATTGTTAATCTGATACAAACCCATTATAAATGTTTAAAGCATCGTATTGAAGTGCTACCTAAGTTCGTTTATATTGACATTACTGTACAGAATAGCCTGTAAGCCGTCATTTGCATCTTACCCCATTCCATTTGGGGTCGGTGTAATATGTTTTTTTCTTCCATTCATCTCTGCAGTAATCTTGTTATTCACTCCTTTTCTTGTCAGTAAAATAAAACCAAATAAGTTTTTAAAATTTTAAGTAATTTGTTTCATAATTGTTTTATTTAAAAAAGTTTGTGACAATACAAGTTTAAGTAGTATAGTTTTATGCTTTTATTTATAAAAGAATTATTTATAATTCCATTTATTTATTATCCTTTGCTGTTTAAATGAATATACAATAATATTTTTTATTTTTTTCTCTTTGAAAGAAACTAATAAGTTACTGTAAAGATAGTTTACATGATGAAATTTAGTTAACATGGTATTTTCTAGAAATACAACTCGAAGCGACTTTAAGTTTTATGCAGATCGTTTAATCCGACTTGTTATTGAGGAGAGCTTAAACAAGTTACCATTCACTGATTGTGAGGTAGTCACACCTACGGGGGCAATATATAAGGGTTTGAAGTATGGAGCAGGGAATTGTGGAGTCTCAATTGTCAGATCAGGAGAAGCGATGGAACAGGTATGTTACTATTTCTCCTTTTTATAATACTGAAAATAAAATTAGTCCTTATATCTGAGGACAGACGGATAAATTTTGTAAGTTAACCATATCTGTAAGATTAGACATTCTGCATATTTATTTATAAGCACGAAATAATAATTAACTTTTTGTTTTTTTTTTAATTCTAAAGTTCTGGAATCCCCTAGAAGATGTGAAATGATGGTTGGTCCTCCAACATCATTATATATCATATCATATCTCATAATGTAAAAATGTAGTGTTACAACTTATAAATACAATAAGATTATGAAATAGAAGGGACACAAGTACTCATAGATACATAGAAAATTTATTCTATGTCCATTTTTATGATTCAATATATCTTTATGTCTCCAATCCGACAGACAAACACATTTTCACATTTATAATACAAATTATTACTTTATTTACATTATACAATTACAGAAAAACACAGTTTGTAAAAATTTGTCAGATACCCGAATGGGCTATGTTTTAGGCCCTCATGATACAATCTATCTTGATGTCAAATGTAATAGAAATTTGTTCAGACATAGTCAAAAAGTAAGTGATAGATAGGGAAGGATAAACAAGGAAACAGTTAGACAGACACTATCACATTTATTAGATTCTATTATATATAGTAATAAATATGGATGTCTAGTATTAATGTAATATTAAACTACTTGGTTTGATTATAAATGAAATCTAATATATTCATTGTTGTTCTTTATTCCAGGGCCTCCGCGACTGTTGCCGTTCAATCCGCATTGGTAAGATTCTGGTCGAAAGCGACACGGACACACATGAGGCGCATGTTGTGTACGCGAAGTTCCCTGAGGACATTGCGCGAAGGCAGGTGCTGCTCATGTACCCGATTATGTCCACTGGCAACACTGTTAAGCAGGTAAATGCTATACTTTTTATAGCAGTGTTTACCGACTTTTTTAGTGCCGTGCCCCATCTTAGCCTTTCTAAAATTATTATGCCCCCCTCCCTCTAATTTCAAGGGATGTGGTAACTGTGATTTTATATCTCAACATATAAGGGTTTCCTTGTATTATTTTTTAATTTATTAATTGTTGTACATCATTGTCATAACAATAACTCATGATTATTCCATCTTTTTGCTCACCGACTTTGGCCATATGGATTTATTTCAGAATTGTTTTTTATTTTTTGCTTTGATCTCTTGGCTACCTCTTACAGCTTAATAAAAAGGTGTGAAAGATCTTTTGTTTTTCGGACTACTACTGCTGTTGGCCGCAGTTGGCCTTTACGGCTTCAGGTAACGATAGAGGGCGAGTGCAGATGGCACTCCAAACGGAAATAGAGCGGATGAAGGCTAACTCCCGCCTGACGGTATCCGGTTCGGTGACCGACTGACGAATGGACGGAATGACGGTTCGACTTTAGTCTGAGGGCACCGCAACGAACCTCGAACCTCAACTCAGGCCGTCGTAATTACGGTCTCCGGTTGAATTACACGGGGGATCGATCGAAGGGGGATGAAAGATCATATTGTACCCGTCAACACATACAAGAATTCTTTTTCAGGCCGTGAATGTCCTAACACAACACGGTGTTAAAGAGGAACGTATTATTCTATCAAATCTGTTCTGCACTCCGGCCGCGGTTCAGGCGGTAGTAGATTATGTACCAAAGATGAAGATTCTGACGTCAGAACTACACCCCGTAGCACCAAATCACTTTGGGCAGAAATACTTCGGGACCGACTGATACGACGACGAATTTGATATGTAATTTACATACCATGCAGAGAAATATAGGTATAATCTATTAATTACGTCACAAATGAATGTAATAAGATGAATTTGTAGCCAAATTAATGAAATCAGGCAGTTATTGTGTATGTGCTAAGATAAATAATTATAATTAAATAATTTATAATATTTTTAAATGAAGAATGCCTGTTGTTAGCCTGGCATCATACACATTAATGCTTTTTAAATTGATGTCGCTTCTTGTGATGCACATACAATTTTATGCCTCGCCTTGATTATATTATAAAGATTCACATCTTTGAATTTAGTATCATGCAATAATCAAGGCAATGTGTATATGTATAAGTCTAGATGAAATTATATCCAAGTACGCCTTTTGAAATTAAAAGTAGATTTGTTAAATAGCGTTAGAAATAAAGTAAAGTTATGAACTTGAATAAAACTTATACTTAAAATTGATACACGATTGTAAATTAATTCGGAATTATAAAATAAGCTGTATATCCAAAAAATAAATTTTAGTAATTGTAACCTATTATAAAAATATATTATCGATCTATTTAGTAATTTTTTAGTTGTTTAGTAATTGCAGACTTTTTTTGGTCTAGATAATGCTTTGTGATATGCTTAAATATATAAATTAATCTATTTCCTATGAATTAATAGTTTGCTTTCAAACTCCCTACTGATATTTAGACTATTCTTCTATTGAACATACATAATATGTATTATATAAAAACTTTGAATGTGTGACGTAGTTAATAAGCAACAAGAACCCAATGTTGTGTATATATATAAAAAAAAATTAATTAGACTCCGTATTGCGCATTTAGCATCTCATTTGGGCTGTTGTGTAGAGCCTAGACTACTAGAGTAACCAGCCAAACTCCACTCAGAAGAACAGAATTTTACTGGTTTCTTCACAGTTTACTCGAAGTGATTATACAGTTCCCAAAAAAACTTTCAATTTCAAAATAGTTGTCATAAATCACAACAATTCTGTATGCAGAGATATTTATCTCTCTAAGAACCATTCTCAACTGAAGTTTCTTGAACACAAGCCGTTATGTTGATATAAAACATATATGTATTATTTTCTGTCCACCTTTCTACTAAAAGTATCAAATATAGGACATTATTAACATTATTGGCATGCCCTTAAATAGTTGTTTTATTGACATCCATAGATGGACGACGCTAACCAACGCCAAGGTAGGCAATTTAGCGTTTAAATGCAAAATGTTATTGCTAAACATTCATTTTAGACACAATTTATATAAATGTATTATTGATTTTTTTTATTTAATAAATACATTTTCTGTATAAATTTTATAAATATGGTGTATGATGTACATCTTTTAACTCTCCGCTGTTTATTGTATTAGCAATGAGGTTAAAATAAGCTTAAGAGTAAGTACCTACTTAAATAAATGGATGTAATGTATTTTTATCATAATTAGGCGTATTTTCTATATGAGTGCTATTACATGTGTTACGGTATTATTTTTACACTGGTATATTATATTGGAGTTAGAAATTAGCGAAAGAACAAGTTTCACATTTAGTGAGGAATTTCCTTTTTTTATTTATGTAATTAAAATGTACAATTTCATTTAGAAATTATGTACAATAATGTATTTAGAGAAGTCCAAATCTTAATAAATATTTATTATGCTTGTTTTAATAAAGAGGAAAATAAAACTTTTCATTTTTTTATTATTATTTTAATCCACAATAACACCAAAAGTAACAGATTTGCAACGTAAACAACTGCAATAATTTATATTTTTATAAACTGTTGTTAGTTATGCATACACGTGTTCTAGCTCTGTTAAGAGTATACAGTGTGTGGAATTAACTGACATATTGGATGACAACAGAAACTGTTGTCAAAACATTTGGATTTATATATGTATTTATTGTATATTGATATCCAGTGAAATACCAATATTGCCAAAGTAATAATTTATATCGACGGACAACGAGGAATTTTGAAAATTCAGATAATGGAAATTTTTTTAGTTTCTTTAATTGCAGAGATGTTATTTTACTTTAGACAAGACTGCTTTCTGCTTTAAACTTGTCTATTTTTTCTCCCAAAGACGCAATAAATTATATTATTTTTTAAATAACAAGAAACTAGAGGATCAAGGAAAGGAGATATTTATTACTTTGATAATTTTTCTGTACAAGGTTATTTCAAAAGACTGAGTTTGGTATCAGGTTTATTTCGGAATAGTGGCTCGCCCCGGATTCGCTCGGGTACTCATATCTTTGTGAGTGAATTTGTTGACTGAGGGTTAATCGAGATAGACTGAAAATTCTGCCTGAATGGATAACTTAGTTTTACATATTCAAGCCGTAGGTCGCGTGTAGGATGAGATTAGGTAGTGAAATTACAGGATAAGAGGCATGACATCTTAGTCCTTCGGATTGGCAACTCTGCTCTTCTGTCCAATGATTTCTTTCTCATGTTGGTCCAACTACTGCCCTTAAATCAAAATCCTACCTCTTTCTGACGCCTTCGTTTCCTTTTCATCTATGGCTATATTGTAATATTAATAGATAATAAATAACAAACAATGTGGTTACTTTTATTCATTTATTTCAGTTTCATAGTTTTACAATCTATGGGTAGATAGATATACAAAGATTTAATTAGATCAGATCACACAACTAAGCAGTTTAAAGTACACAGTATTATAAATTAATAATCAACATTAGAATAATTTAACCCTTAACAAGTAACCCTTATAAAGTGATCCCCAAACAATTCGTGGTCAGCTCGCAAACGCGATCACAAAACACAGATGTTATTCTCTTATAATACGTCGCTAAAATCTAAAAAATAGTATTATAGTCATGTAAAAATGTCAATAACATTCAATTACATTATTGTAACACGATTCCTATTGGAGAACAAAAATATTTTTATAATATTTTTTTTTATTAGTAAAACTAGATGACTCCGCGTCGCTTAACAAATAATTATTGTTAGGTTGTGTCCGTCGGCGGCGCATATTATATGGCAACACTACAACTAAAGAATCTCAAGTGTTTCTGTGACATGGTAACACCGCCGATGTTACATTAAAAAAGTGCATACTCCCAAATAAATACTTAACAATACATTACTCTGTCAATATAGATTTCTTATACACTATGTTACGCATTTTAAACAATGACAAGCACTTAATACAATCCTTTTGGAAGTGTCTAAGATTTAACATGAAATCTGGTAGCACCAGAGCATGTCGAATATATTTTAATTTATATATTCATATACATACAACACAAATAATATATATATACATATATACCCTCGAAATTGACTTAGATATGTTATTAAGGCAACGTGTGAATCGCTCTAGGTAAATTGACAATATAATCTAAAGGACTAATACAACAGCCAAAGCGAAATTATATGGCAATTAGCATAATATATAACCGATATGTGATACATATAAAATATGGGTAGATTACTGCAAAATATTAGTGACAATAACAAACTAAACAGTCAAAATATATAAACATCTTAAATAGAGTTCAGTAAAAAAGCGAAATTAATACTTAATAAATATTTTGTGCATTCACATTTTTTTTATGATTTTCTCATGTGTTTTTGTATAAAAATATCTTCAACAACGCTTCTAAGTAATAAGTAACTAAGGGACGACCTTACGAAAGTTGATTTTGTCGACAAGATCGAATAGCTCATCGCTGGGTGTTCCCTGCTTATTGAATGTGCACCAGTCTCTGGCGTTAGCGACAATCGGTAGAATGGTTTTTTCGCTGCACAATCACAAAAATCTATGGTCAGTCACACTTTTTTTTTATTAGTTTAAAAAAATAAACGTGCTGAAACTTACGCCAAGCATTCACTAATCACAAATAATTATTGTGGTTTTTTATCGTCAATCGTTTTTAAACATTTCATTCTGTGCTGCCAGTATTAAAAATGTATTTTTTTTAATAAAAAGTATATATGCATCCAGATATGATAGTTATTCGGATTTTGAAATGAGAACAGTTACACACCTGACGAGAGGAAGCGTTAGAGCAAGCTGGCGTGAGTTATTTACATTAGCTTCTGTTTGGCGCATTCCGGGCAGATGATATCCTGGCCATCGGTGATGAAGCCCTTGCCAACCAGGGAGGTCTTACACTGCGCGCAGATGAAGCAATCGTTATGCCAGTGGCGATCCTCGAAAGAGATGAAACGTGTGCCGCCAATGCCTGAAAAGAAAATGTATTATTGTGAAATATAACAGTACTAGTATAGTAGTAGACTATATTTCTTTTTATTCTTCAACTATTAGATTGTACATTTCATCTACTGCCAAATAGATCTCTATTGTATGTCACAAATAGCCCTGGATCGTTTAATATATATGACCACAGTAGGCACACAGAATATCTGTATAGCGTTATCCGAAGCGAAGGACCAGATTTTTATACAGTTGAATCTTTTTAATAAAATAAACTAATGTTTTTTTTATATTAACAACAGATAATAAAACCTGATATCTGTATCAGTATAAATAATATTCTTTACATGTAAAACATGTAAGAATGTAAAACCCTTTTCCGTCAACTTAAATCAAAATTTCTTTCTTAACATTATTTGCGGATTTGCGGACTTATTTTTATATATTGCGCAAAAACGTGGCCAGTTTTGGCGCATGGTTTAATTTATAATTTTACTGGACTAAAATAAATGCAAATAAATATGAAATATACCAGTGATGGGCTTGGTGCAAGAAGTGCATCGCTTCGCAAACAATTCTCCGAAACATTCGGCGCAGTATGGCTTCTCGTCGCGGGAAGTGAACCGCTGACCGGCCAGCGACGTGTTGCAGTTTGTACACGTGAAGCACTCGCGGTGCCACGGCTCGTTCTTGTACGTCACACCTCCTTGCGTGATGATCTGAAATGACAGTGTCACATGTGTCACAAATATTAAGGCCAGTGATAGGTATATACTTTTTAAATATGAAACGTTTCGTAAATCTTACTTCTTACTAATATTATAAAAGCAGAAGTTTGTGAGTATGGATGTTTGTATGTTTGTTACTCTTTCACGTAAAAACTACTAAATGGATTTTAATGATGATAGCTGACACGTAGACTGTAAATTTCAGGTGGTCAAACTGTAGGCACAGCTAGTATAATAATATAATAGGATTGAACAGAACCTGTGTTACAGTATTTCGACCCCATACTCGACTAGTGGGTAATCAGACAGTCCATGGAAGTAATTTAGAAAAGGCAAAATACTGTATGTGTGTGTGGGTAAATGTGTGTATGATTATCATCGTTTGATTGATGTTGAATTGATTATTTTTGAAATAAAAACACGCTTGGTGAGAAATACATAGTAACCAAAACCCTCACCAGAATTCCATCCCCACACCAAAATTAATTATAATTTATACGATACTTTCGCATTTATAATAGGAGGCATTAGGATATTACAATGGTTTTAGAATTAAAACATTAGAGAAAGTAAAAAAAATGATTGATTGAATAGCCTGACATAATTAAGAAAGTTTTCAATACAAAAAAATAATGAATAAAGAATACTAAAGGAGTTTCAATGTATTAATTGGAGAAACTCACGATACAAAGTTAAAGATACGTCATAGACAATATCGATTCAAACGACCCAGTTAACAATCTCCACAATTTGAACTCGATGGTTCAGTGGTTTGCGTGAACATGAGGTAGCAGGTTCGATGAATAATAGAATTTTGTATAACATAACGTTATTAATATATTCATACAAAAAAAAAACTGTTTTTAAAGCTTATGGAATACCGTATTTTATAAATTGACCTTTAAAAACATCTCTTACCGCTTTGGTAGCAGGATCCTTTGGTAGTTACTATAAGATGGTCTCGGTGATTTAGCGGTTTAAGCACACAGCTTTAATACTGATGGTCGCGGGTTCGATTTTTAGCACGGTCTAAATATTTGTATTCATGAGTATGATTATTTGTATTGGTATCGGTGTTTTTTATGTGTATTATGTATGTATTTATGTAACATCTAAGTTAAAAACTAAATCAGTTGTTTAGAACCCATGAAACAAACTCTATTTAGCTTGGGACTAGATGGCGTTGTGTGAATTGTCCAGGAATATTATTAATATTATTATAAAAGATCAATTAACTATTTTAGTAACTAAGTTAAGATACACATATTAGCCGTGACCGCGGTTTCACTAGTGTTAAATTTCAATAAAAATATAGCCAATAAGTTATTCTGATGCATAAGCTATATTACTGTAAAGTTTCATCAAAAACTGTTCAGTAGTTTTTGCGTGAGCGTAACAAACATCGATATTTACAAACTTTTATAATATTATTAAGATTAAAAGAGGGAAATAATTTTAGTATGAAATACTATTTAAAGAGGTATTATTTGTACCATTTAATATGTATGTAAAGTTGTTAATATAGCACAAAAGAGGGCGCGTCCACTTTTCTTAGAGCAATAAATCCACGTTCGGGGGTGACGCTGTCAGTAATCGATCCCTATAAAACGACTTGACTAAATTTATTGCAAAACTAACCTATCTAATAGCTGAAGCTATAAAATCAAGTATAAAAGAGTTTGACTGGGTACTTGGTAGTACTGAATCATTTCAAATACACCAAACAGTATATTCGCGTTTGAGTTACGTAAAAACTGGCGGTTTGAATGTTTTTAAATTTAGAACATGCTTCTTATAAATATTTTAAATTTAACGCTTAGTAATTGTATAGTTATAATGAAGCTGTATAAATTAGATACCCATGTAACACTACAACAGATTAAATAATAAAATAGATTTTAATTATTAATGTCCATAGTTTATGAAGGATATACTTTTATTTTTTTTAGTGTGAATTCGACATAAAATTTTATAATAATAAAATTTGACTTAAATGTCTAAATAATTAAGTGAAATATGTTTTTTTTAATCAATTTACTACTAAAAGTAAAAACGGCCAAGCATCATAGAATATGTGACGTAATACACTAATAAAAAAAGATGGATTCTTAGCTGAAAAACCTTTGCTTCCAACTTCTTGCACATAATCTGTTGCAAGTAGCAAAACACTATAAAAAACTGACTACATGTACTTTAAAATAAATAAAAGATTTGTTTAAACCTATCCCTAGATACTATAATTCTGGGTTTATTATAATTAGCCTTTATTTAGATATACTTAGCCTAATAGCAGTGTTACTTTAAAACAAACATCAAACTTTAAAAACGAAACTAATAACTTATTCTAATAATTGTATTCTGTAGATCTGTTTGCCAATCAGAAAATGCCTGAGGTAACATATAAAAAAATAGACTGAACTAAGAACCTCATTTTTTGAAGTTGGTCAAAATATATTATGGTAGGACATACCTTGTTGCATTTAACGCAGCGGGTGGCGAACTTGTCCTCGTAGCAGCCGGCGCAGTAGATCTCCTGTTCGCGGGGGATGAAACTCTTGGTCCCGATAGGGTTCTTGCACACGACACAACAGAAACACTTCTCGTGCCACTGCCTGGTCTTGTATTCCATCTTCTTGGTGCCTGTAGAAGAATGAAAGAGATATTTAAGCATTTCTAGTTACGATTTGTGGGACTGTAGTCCTTGATTAAGTTTATGCCAGGTCTCATGGAGGGTAGACAGACAGAGATACGAGAGCTAAAGATCTGTTTAATAGGCATCGAGACTTAGAATATAGAATATTCGAGACTGCAGAATCGCTTTTGTTTGGGTGAATTCTGCCGTAAATGAGTTATTTAAAAATAAAAAAGTAACCTATTGTTTACTGTCTCGGAAGTATATTCTTACTCTTATAGTTTTGATATTTAAACATATATCATACGAAAACAGATTGACTACAAATGTGATAGAATTAGTGCGATATAAAAACCTAACGGTAGGGAGAAATATTGATACAACAAACTTGTCGTTCATAAGCGGCTAAAATATCCTACAAGAAAAAAATAATTTTGATTTGATTTGATTTGAACGTTACAAAAATAATAGACAAATAAATTGTTGACGAAAAGGATGACTGGACGAGAAAAAAATAATACAGTGTAGTTATAATTAAGATTGTCCTCTTTTGTGTCGGTAATCTTTTCAAAATGCCCTATTAAGAATACAATTAGGCACATTATCGCCATCTTCATCACAATCAAAGATAATCATAGAACATTAAAAGAATAATAGCACTCTCACGAATTTAAAATGACGCGCCATTTTTGGGTATAATGAACCCAAAAGGAATAACAGTTATTTATGATTAGTTTCGCGTCTAGTGTCTGCAGGGTCAAGGATATAATGTTGCATGTGTTTTTTAAATAAATTTACATATGTCTGTATAAATACAAGAAAAGATGTCAACATTTTGCACTATTAATATCAGTTTTGTAATAATAAAATTAATCTGACAAAAAGGATTAATTAGACATTTCGCACGCTGAATAATAAACAGAAGTAATTCAAACATAATATTCTTTCCAATATTAATTTAAAGACATTGATAATAAAGTTGATTTTTAAAAAGTTATTGCAATTGGAAAATAAAATATAAGTGATTAATGAAACTTAAATAATAGGTATTTAAATAAAGAACGTGTTCAATTATTATTTTGTTCTTATTTTAAAATACATATTTCGAGGATTAATGTAGTTTGAAACGTTTTCTTTTGAATCATAGATAATTATTGTATTTTGTAAAAATAAAGGATAAACAATAAGGTCATTTGTACAGAATCATTCGATTGGAATAATTAAACAACTAAATATCAGATCAAATCGTGGTAATTGAAATATAATCCTTTTACTGGAATGTAATTCACTATCACCACAGAAGTTGTCATCCGTAACTTATAAATTATAATTTCACTAGCATATCTTATGCTTCAAATTGCTAAAGATATTTATGTAAACATATCGTCTAGTCGTTGATTGTCATAAATTTAATATACAACGTTGAGCTCTAATTTACAATTTTATGTGCATTTATAAGGATCTGAATATCTGAAAAACTTCACTGAAAAATCAAGAAAACTTATGAGTATATTATTTCTATAGTAAAAGATATCTGAAAAAAGTGGAAAAAAAAAAAAAAAGAATGATACGGAATACAATGGCTGTTTGGGCTTAGACTTTTTGCCTTTCCTATAAGGATAAATAAAGTTAAAAAAAGTAAACATAGCAACTTTTTTAAATAGTTGAATACACAATGTGATATTGTTAAAACTGTACAAATCTATATTTCAATACGTTCTTCGCACAATAATACCGCATTCGTGCAAGATTACAATGGTTTCTTGTATTTATGATGTCGTAAATTGCATCGCTACCGTGCCACGATACATCGTATCGGTTGTCCTTGAAGGGGTTGCATGTGACATTGATGGTACGGGATAATATTTGATGATTGCACGCAAATGTTGCAACGTTCAAGGTTCATCGAACTAGGATCGATTGTGACGTTATCATTAAAACTAGTAGTCGGCCAATAGTAGAAATTCGACCATAATTAATTTAAATTATAAGTTTTAAGATTAAGGTTATATTGTAAAAGACAAAGACAAAGTCAAAGACTTCGTTGTGTGTGTCAAGTGTCAAATACATGGTAGTGTGTGTAATGTTTTTTTATTGATTTAATATATTCTTTATAAATATTTTCAAAAGAATATTAGCATTTTGCACTTTATAAACGTCCATCCTATAGCCCCGGGTACGATTCTCGCACGAATAAACTTTTGTATTTACGATTATGACTATTTGTATTGTTTTGGATTTTATATGTATCATATGTAAAGCATATGTATATATGTAAGTAATATAGGGAATTTGAACATATACAAATCCATATATTGATATAGGGTTTACCTAATTTGGAGCTATTAATACTCCACGGCAATGCCAATAGCTTCACTGTTGAAATTGCCGTGGGGCATTACCACAGAAAAGAGATTCTGTTCTGTGGGTATTACTATTATTATATCATACAGAAAGTTTTTTATAGATTTTTTTCGGAACTGGAATCGAGCTGAACTGCACTAACTGGTCGTGATAAGAAATGGCAATTGTTGCTTAAGGTGCGGGAATTAAAATAGATAACTAAAATAAAAATAAAGCAAGGTTCTTGGCGGCAGACACAGGTGAGATAGAAGTATTTAGCAGACGACTTTGTATAAAGTCTAACACGATAAACAAATGTATAATGTTATATTTCGAGTATCCCTTTCCTTCTAATTCATTAGTGAGATACAATCAGCCAGCTACAATCTATTTAATAGTAACTTCAGAATTTGGAAACTTTTGTAGCGTGAAAACTTTTATGGCCACACCTTAATCGTGTCTAAAGTTCCACAGCGAATAAAAATGGTATTTATGTCATAGGAAATAAGTAAACTATTAACTTGCAGTGAAAAACTTTAATAGGAAAACTTGTCGAGACTGGGGTAACAATTCTTTTAAGATAGCGTGACGATACCTATACAGTTGTGGGTGTGCATGATCTATCATAGGAATCCATATTAATATTATGTCTGGCCATCAAATAGAAATAGAAATAATCTATATTCAAATAAACTCATACCAGCACTTTTGAATAGTCATATTTTTTATTCTACTACTCACTCGGAACGCAGATTCTTCACAAGAAGAATCAGCAAGAAAATTGCCTTCAATTCAGTCAATATTCACTTCAATTCATTCACTTAACTGGAAAAATTACTGATTTTCTTTTATTTAATATATGTTGTATTCTAATCTCTAACAGTCCGTTAGCTTCTCACGACTGAGCGGCTGAACATATGTTAATGAAAATAGACTGCACCGGTTTGAGAAATTCATTTGCTGTTTAAAAGGTACATAATTCCAGAGCGACATTGGCAAGATATTATGTTAAAATATACGAAAATAACAAAGTTATGAACACACAGGCGAAGCAGGGACGAGGCACTAGTGAACAAATAAATGGAACCGCTGCTTTGGAGACAATGACAATAAAGCTCTGAATATAAATCATACAAACAGTTAAATCGCCCGTTTTCCATTGTTCTGATTGTTCCATATTGACACGAATGGAAAGGACATTGTTTTTTTTTAATTACGCTCCACAGAGAGCGGCGCGGCACAGAAATCAGTTATTCTGCCATGTAACTGGGATAGTTGTTGACACAAACTAAACCCACGTAAATATAACAAGTATCCAATAATAATATATGTAAGTAGTTAAATTAACACTCCCACGCGTATTTATTTTTTTCCTTTGCCTTGTTCACAGTAAGATCTACTTTCGATCAAGTTTAATACATTTCTAATGTGTATTTGTTGACCTTATGCTAATCATGAATGGATTTGGTTTGTACATACAAAAAGTATGTAATGTATGTAATAAGCATATAAAATTTGTATAACTTATTTGTTTTACTTTTATGTTCGACTAAATTATTTAGATGTATTGATATAGGTATTTTAATATTCGTCTCTTTATTACTATTACTACGATCAAATGACCAATATGTAGCTTCCAAAACCTACGGAGATATAGTAGTATTTTTTTAATATAAAATTACATGAATTGGTAAATGGTTAAGGAGTGACGCAAACTGATCTATTTTTTAGATTACAAATGTTCATTAAATTGTTTCTTTTAATATAAATAATGCTTTGTCGTTACTATATTGTTTCTAATTTAATTTTAACATGAATCGGTATTTTTATAATCATGTTCAATCTTATTTGAAAATAGTAAGAAAACAGATTTTCTCAATTCTCACTCAAAATACATTCCAAACCGACAGAAAATTTGATTTCTTCTAAGTGCCTGCAATATAGAGATATTTTGCTTGATTGCCAGCCAGTAATCGCGTAAAATTTGCAAGAGAGTCACAAATAGAATTGGAAGAACGGTCAAACGAAATTATCAGAGTACAACTAGATTTCGAATAAAACGTGAATTTTAAGGAAAGCTACATACATTAAAAATTGACGAAGGCAAAATAAATATAGAAATTTCTCACATAGACTTAAAACTCATGTAAATAAAATGTAAAGTTATACACACGCTAAATTATCCATTTCGCGGTTTACCTCAAGTCAAGCTATAGCAAACCTACAAGGCTGTTACATCTAAGCACCGATGATATTTATCACCTATATTTAATATCTAGCGAATCGCCGCGGTTTTATACTAGTATATTTAATATAGGAAAGTATATGTGTAAGATGTGTTTTAAAATCCGTTAAGTATTTTTTATATTTATTCGTCACGTATAAAAAAATATACCTGCCTACCTTATAATCTAACTAGGTACCCGGCCCGGCTTCGCATGAGTGTACATGTATTTTTTTTTTTGTGGATGATAATGGAATGGTGCACCCGCCTGCGCTAACGGTTTACGCTGGCGGGGCACCAGTGGAGGATGATAAGATAGTTAGCCCATCGTGACTAATTCACCAGGAATTAAACACGATGGTTTCCAGGGGGAACCACGCGAGTGTACATGTATTACATATGTACATATAAACCTTGGTCTTAAATCACTCTATGTATTGC